TGTTAGAAGAAGGTGTTTAGAAGAGTATAAAGATATACCCATAAAGACTAATTTTTCTCTTCAAACCAGGCCTAATACTTAAAAGAATAGGAAGGGTGAAGTTAGAGGAAGTATGAGAATAAATTTCCCTTTTGCTCAGTCATATCTATGAAGCATGTTTTCAGCTCATGTTCTAGTATATTAAATTAGAGCCAATACGTATCCAAAATATCTGTATACCAACCACAAAAGGGTGATGTAACTATGGTCAAAGTTTAAATATGTATAAATGTTCCATTAGCTCTCCACTTCTGCTAATTATAACTGATGGCTAAAGAAAAAGAAATAAACACTGAGAACAGAATGCATTTGTTTTAGTGTATGACACTCTGAAGAATGGACTCAAATCATGAAAAACATTTAATTTAAACCATTTTACAATTAAAAATAAGTTATGTCACAGGCACTGTTAATGCTGCATGTCAACTTTCAGTATTTTAAGATGGTACTAAAAGCACTGTATTTTGTTAAAAAGACAAATGGAAAGTTTTATTTATTCTAATGATTAGTTATGATCTTCATCCTTGGACTCAAACAAACACCTTAAAATTGCCCTTTTAGTCCTTATTCATTAAAACAGTAAGTAAATGTAAATTCTAGAGAGGTGTGATAATTCTGTTCAACCTCATGGTTTCTATGAAGACAATAGTATTTTGCAGGTTGAGTTATTTATGCCATAGAAGAGAATGTGCTAGAATAAGAGTGACACAGAATACAAGCTTTTTGAGGAAGTCTGGGTTTTATAGACTCAAAACTTCTTTCTCTTTATATGTATGCTTCTTTATTTCAAATCAGGAGAGCTAATTAAGGAATCACTTGTCAAGGCCATCTGTGCGTCTTGTCACATGCAAATTTTGGAGCTAATATTGCTGAGCGTAGTTGGCTTAAGGAAATGGAGTTAGGTTTTGCTAATAAAAATAAAGGCCAAGCGTGTTGATGCTGTGGAATATATTTCGGAGTCGGCTTAGACTCCGAGTGGCCGCGCCAGTAGACTGCCCAGTTGCATCACTACTAACCGTGGGTTTCGTGATGCCGTTGACCGCAGTGCTGGGCTTTGCACGTGAGCATTTTCTTTCAATTTTCACCTCTTGCTTTATCAGCATTGGGACTCGAGCCCCGCCATGTGTATGCTTGTATGCACGAGTAAGGAAATTTCCTAACGAGTCAGGGAGGGCTCTGAAAAAGTGTACTGTTCTGTTGTATGCACGCTACACGGAGATGAAAGGAACTGTTACCCTTCACTTTAGCTTATCTACTTAGTGCTCACATGCTTTTTGGCTCTTTTACAAGCATCTCAGAACTTCCTCCATGAGTCAGCTATGGCTCTGGGGACAGTCCTGAGGACTGTTAAATTATCTTAGAAATCTTGTTATTGTGACTTGTTAAACTCATCTCTCAGAATTAGGGAGGTGGTTGGATATCTGGCCAAAGTCATTTTGGTGTCTCATAAGCCATAAATGTGACTGATCCTACATCATAAAACTAAATATGCAGTTACAGCCTTTTGTCTTTAATAAACTTGCATCTGATATAGTGTCAAAACTTTTAAAGCTGAATGAAAGCTGCGGAGATCGCTAGCCAGGCCTTTCATTTTCTGGATGAAGAAACTAACCCAAACAGCCATACTCACCAGCAACCTGACTGTGCCTTTAGCCAGTCAACTGCAGAGCCAAGACACAGCTTCTTTTCTCTGATTCCCAATGGAATCATGTTATAAAACATGAAATTACGGACAAGTTTCATAAACTATACATTACAAGGTTCTATTTAAAAACATCAAAACATGAATCTTACCATAAACCTGACCTAAAATATACTAGCAAAAATGAACAGGATTTAACCATTTGGCTTTATAACAGATTTACTTATTTACTCTTTCATTTTAAAGAAAACAACGACTGATTTAGATGGCTCTGGTCATTTTTCTCTTAAGCTATGAAGGAAATTTTAATGGACTGACTTATTTACTGTGGTTAGTATGATTTTTTTTTTCATATTATACCCGTGTTTTTTAGTTTTTAGTAGTTGTTGTTAGCAGTATTTGGATTTGAACTCAAAGACCTTGGCCAGACACTCTGCCAACTGACTGTACTTCCAGATCTCTCTGGGTTTTTTTTTTTAGAGAGAGTCGCACATTTTTGCCGAAACTGGCCTGGACTACAGTCCTCATATGCAGACTTCTTGCATAGCTGGGACCACAGGCATACATTACCACACCCAGCTGATTGTTGAGATGGGAGTCTCACTAACTTTTTGCCCAGGTAGCCTCTAACTGCAATCCTACTGATGTCTGCCTCCCAGATAGCTGGGATTAAAGGTGTGAGCTATTTCACCCAGCCAATTACTTAGAATTTTTAAAAACTAATTATTGTAATAGCTAAATAATTTTGAGGTTTTAAAAAATTTTAATCGCAAAGATTAAGAGCCTTACTACTCTGAGTGTCTTCTATAAACCAATGACACTGTCAGAATAATAGAGATGATTCTCAAAAAATGTGGAATCTGACTGGGGACCTAGGTCCACAGTACAGCATGTGGCCTTGCATGTGCGAGGCCCTGGGTTCAACCCCCAGCACTGAAATTAAAAAAAAAAAAAAAGTTGAATTTTAGCTTTCACTTTCCTAGACCTCTGAATCACAATCTGTAGAAGTGTTAACAAGATCCTGGGTGATTCCTGTGTACACTGAGGCTCCCACAGCACTTATTTAGTGAGTTACAGATTAGAAAACCTGGCTCTGTTTCTTGTCACTTCCTGTCTGTTCCTCACCTTTCTTTGCCTCTCCCCATACCTGAAATAAAAGAACATAAAAATTTTAGTCTGAGGCTGGGTGTATAGCTCAGTGGTAAAGGTGTGAGGTCCTTTATTCTAGAAGAAGAAACCAACAGACAAATACATTGTTCTGCTCTGCCAGGCAAAAAGAAGACCAGATCACAAGCATATGAAAGGAGGGAGAGGACCCCATCCCTTGTGTGGGGCAGGCCTGGGGGTTAACCGGCTGATGGTGTGACTTCACAGTGCATCATAGCAGCTAGCAGACCTGTGCTCTTCTCCCTCTTCTAGGTTTCCCTCATCAGTATCCACATTGGTCCTTGCTCCCAAAACCAAGATTGTGTAACAGTATTGAGAAGTGGAGTACAGGAGTTAATTATACAGTGTCGAGTTTACAGAGCCACAGAACATCAAAAGCAGGGACTGCCTGTTCTAGCTAGGAACAGAGAGCAGCAGAGGATTTATCGTTGGTTATGTAACCTGGGAACCAGAGTGAATAACAGGAATCCTGAGACGGAGTTGAAATGGTTGTGATTAAAAGCAAAATCAAATACCAAATCCAGACCTTCATATGCAAAAGACACCACCAGCAAACTGTTCTTCCAGTGAGTAAGGGGTTGAAAGACAGTGTCCTGGAGTGGTTAAGACCTCAGGCTCCGATTCAAAATGTTCTTGGTTCAAATCCCAGCTCATCTGTGTCTTGGCTCCATGACTGGGGATATGGCACTCACGCTGTCAAACCTGTCCATTGGAAACCAGGGAAAACAGTAACTGAGGTACCGATGGTAAAGTGAGTGAGAAAAATCAGACATAGGAAGTATTCAGTATTTATTTATCCATCTACTTATTTTATGATCCTGCAGACCAGTTCCCTTCTGCACAGTGGCATGATTTTATGTGTTTTTCATGGCAAAGACCTATAGCTTTAACAAAAGACTATTATCTGAAGCTAAAATGTGTTTGTTGATCACCCCTGTGATGGTAAGTACTAGTAGGCCTCGTGTGGTGGGGGTGGCAGCAGGAGGAAGCATAATGAAAAAAGATGAAAAATATCATCAGATGCCCTGAATTGAAAGAGATGAGATGAGAGAAAGACCTGACCAGTGATTTAAAACAGCATATCCATGTATTAAGAATGAATAAACTCGTGTTTTGGTTGATGGAAAAGCAGCCATATGTACTGATTACTAAGAGCCTTGATAAATCAGGAAGAAAAAAAAAAGAGAACTGGTAGTAAAACTAGTTTAACAGATTTTTTTTTAATCTCCATATTTAATCTCTTTTTTTTTTTTGACATAAAACTTGAATCTTGATAGAAAAACCAACGAAGCACTAGAGGGCAGACTGTGAGAAAAAGTCAGAACGAATACATTCAGAACAGCTCGCCTCCACCCTCACAGTGGTCATGTGAGCATGGGGCACAGGCGTGGAGGGGTTCTGATGGACTGCCTCAGGACTGTTGAATAATTTTGTCACTGTCTTCATGCTCACCATTCTTTAAATTCTTTCAGAAGAGCTCAAGCTTTGAGGGAAATGGGAAGTTTACAGGTCACCTGTTAGGGTGGTGTAGAAATAATGGTTTAGACATGTAGAAAGCAGCACTGAATCCTTGTTTCATCCCCTACATTCCCAGCTGCCCTCCTCTTGCTTAGGGCAGAAGTTTAGAAAGATTCTTCTACCCGAGGCCCTGGGTGAACAGAGGTGATGATTGGGGCAGGGGGATGTGGACTAGGTGGCGGGGAGGTGGGGGGCAGTCAGCAGCAGTTGCATTAACACTTGATCAAAGAAATGAGAAGCCAGGGGCCAGTGGCTCACGCCTGTAATCCTAGCTACTCGAGAGGCTGAGATCAGGAAGATCACAGTTCAAGGCCAGCCTGGCAAATAGTTCTTAAGGCCCCATCTCCAAAATAACCACAGCAGAATAGACTGGAGGTGTGCCTCAAGTGGTAGATGAGTTTAAACTCCAGTTCTACCAAAAAAAGAAAGCAAAACAACTCACCCTGAAATGCATGAGAGCTGAAAGATGGTTTTCCATGGCCTCTGTTGAAAACGAACCTCCTGGTGGAAGGTTGCGTTGTGTAGGGGTCGCTCGGGACCTGGCTAATTCTTCCTGCCTGTGATGCCCAATGGATACTTGGCTCCCATCTGTGATCCTTCATCTAACCTTCCTTTCTCCGCTTCTTTCCCACAGTGCTCATGTGTCCCAAGTCAGCAGTGTTTCAACAACTGGAGAGTAAGTTATTTGAGTTGGGTTTTTGTGTTTTGGGTTTTTTATACCTTTTCTAATATATTAAACAGAAAAAAAGCAATCTAATGTTGTATAATACTGGAAAGTTAAATAATAAGCAAGGAGTAGTTTTTTAATCTACCTCTGTACAGAGGAGAGTCCTGCTTGAGTTTCTGTGTGTGTGTGTGTGTGTGTGTGTGTGTGTGTGTGTGTGTGAGACTACAGATAACTCCACCATTTGAAACTACCAGCTTTTGTTTGTTTTGTTTTGAGACAGGGTCTCACTATATAGCCTAGGCTGGCTTTGAACTTGAGACCTTCCTGCCTCAGCTTCCTGAGTGTTGAGATTACAGGTGTGTACCACCATGCCTGGCACTATCAGCTTTCTGCTTATTACAAGAAAAATAATGTCAAGGTCAATTAATACTTGCCAAGCCATCCTAAGTGCTCAGAGAGGCATCTTGCCATACAATTTAATCAGTGGTCAAAGTGTTTCCCGTGTCTTTTCTCCCTGCGTCCAACATACTGAACCTTCATTTGTCGAGGTCTGCAGTATGCCAAGTGCAGTGTTGGACTGTGATATCAGATAAGCCTTGGGCTCTGTCTCTGTGGACTTCACAGTCTTTTCACAGAGATATGGAAAAGAAGCAATGAGTGCTGGCGACAAGTCCTCTCTCCCCTGGAGACGCTCTCTTTATTGTGTCCAGCACAAGCCTTTTCTCCTCTGAAGGCTGCCTCAGGCACTTAGACTAAATCCAAAGTCCATTTTCTACCCCTGCCTGCCTCTCTGACCATGCAGCTTACTGATCATGTGTGGCTGGACTAGGCCTTGCTTATTTCTGCCTCAAAGCCTTGGCATGGACTGTTTCTTAGCTGGGCCAGCTCTTTCTTATCCTTGTTCAAATATCATTCCTAACTGGGAATCTCTCCCTAACACCCATGCTCCCTCTCCAACCCTGTGTTAGATACCTCGGAGGATTTCCTGCTGTCTGAAAGTACATTACTGTGTTTGTTTATTCTACCTTGCCCTATGAGAATGCAAGTTTCATAAACACAGGACCTTGTCTGCCATGTTCTTGCTATCTGCCCAGCACAGAGAAAAGTATCCAGCATGAATTAGGCACTAGCTACACATTTTTTAAGTGACTAAACGAGTGACCCCTCTCCCAAGGACCTCTCCATCCCACCTACCTCTCTTACTTTCTTGCTAGGATATGTGTGAGCCTTTTTGGAACATCTTCCTTTAGCAAGGATCAAGTGCAGGAGGTGAGGAGGGTATGATGAAGGGTTATAAACGTGCTGATGGGATGCATTTGGGGTGGATTTGGATTTTTCTCCTTGTTAGGTGAGGAAACAAGCAAAGGGCAGGACTGACTTCCCTAACACTGCTTTATTTATTTATTTATTTATAGTACTGGGGTTTGAATTCAGGGCCTATACCTTGAGCTACCCCACCAGCCCTTTATTGGGGGATGGGTTTTTTTTTTCATAGGGTCTACCAAACTATTTGCAATCCTCCTGATCTCTGCCTCCTGAGTAGCTAGGATTACAGGCATGAGCCACTGATGCCCGACTTGCAGTGTCAATTTTAAAGAGATTCCAGAATTGTGGGAAGACTGACGTGCTCTTGCCTTCTTTGTCTGCTAACCACCTTCCCTTCTTATATGTCTTGCATACTATGTAAAACTCTAAGTTGGTGTGTGTGTGCGTACTCACTTACTCACATTCCTCAGTCCCACTATTAGGAAATGTTGAATTATTTGGGACACAGAATAGAATAAAAGTTTTACTGCTCAAATTAATTAGACTGTACTTGCTCATTGTCTTTAAAAGATTTTTAATAAAATTTGAATGATGTAAGAGTCTTTTCTCAAACAACATTTGGGAAATCTTAAGTTGTTTATGTTCTCAACTCCTATTGTATATGAGAGAGAGATACTTCTCAGTCTAAACATTTCAAAAATACGCGTGACTCTTTTTCAAGTGAAGAAAAACAGGCTTTGATGAGTGTAAGTTAAGAATTTTCCCTGCAAGCTTATTCAGGATTAAATAGTGTGGTGATGAAAGAATGTTTAGACACATTGAAAGATTCTACAGCTTTAAAATGATACCATGTAGATCTTATTTGCATTCTTTTCAGTCTTTTGTGCCTACCTGTGTTCTTCAAGTTGAACAAAGTAAATCTATCCTTTCCACTTGAATAGTATATTTTAGGGTGCCTTTGCATGAATCCACCTTCAGTGTTATATATCACAGTTTGATTAATCAGCAGCCAGGAAAGATTATACTATGCTATTATGAGTTGTAATTGTTCTGACAAGCTGTTTTCCCCCAAATAGCATTATTTCTATATAACTATCTAAAAGGGATTCTAAATATTAGCATCCTAAAATATTTTGGATATTTTTTTAAAAACCCCAAAAATCCAGTGTGCTTTTAAATCATACTATCACCCTCTGCGGAACAGGTATAAAACCTGGAGGAAACTTGCCTTTATAAAAATAAGTCTGCTATTCTACAAGGACAGAAGAATCTTCTTTGTTCTGCCTTACATTAAATGATTCTTGTGTCCTGAATACCTCACTGAATGCCCAGTGCTGGAATTGCTCTGGGCATTTCAATAATCGTAAACTCACAAAGATGAAGTTAGTGGAATTTGTTTTGTTTAGTTTTGTTTTAATGCACTATACAAATGTTTTTGGATTAATGCCTCATTTTGAAGTACCAATGGTCTTCCACTGGAAATAGAGGTATTTCCAAAATTATGGACATATGTTTTTGAAGAAAATGATTGATAAATTTACTTGCTTGAATTGCCTCTCTTTTTTTTTTTAACCAGACTCTTAGAAAGAACCATCAGGTCAGCTGTAGAACAGCATCTTTTTGATGTGACTAGTTCTGGAGGTCAAAGTTCAGAGGATTCAGAATCTGGAGTGTCATCAGCATCTTCTTCCACATCCTCCAGACAGTGGAGGCGCCAGCCCAAGGAGCCGGGTGACGTTCAACGTGGTAGAGACAAGTGGGTAGCCATTCACACTCCTTGCTTGCTTGTTTTCTTCTTCTTCTTCTTCTGTTTCTTCTTCTTCTGTTTCTTCTTCTTCTTCTTCTGTTTCTTCTTCTTCTTCTTCTGTTTCTTCTTCTTCTTCTTCTTCTTCTTCTTCTTCTTCTTCTTCTTCTTCTTCTTCTTCTTCTTCTTCTTCTTCTTCTTCTTCTTCTTCTTCTGTTTCTTCTTCTTCTGTTTCTTCTTCTTCTTCTTCTGTTTCTTCTTCTTCTTCTTCTTCTTCTTCTTCTTCTTCTTCTTCTTCTTCTTCTTCTTCTTCTTCTGCTTCTTCTGCTTCTTTTGTTTCTTCTTCTTCTTCTTCTGTTTCTTCTTCTTTTTCTTCTTCTTCTGTTTCTTCTTCTTCTTCTTTCTTCTTTTTTAAAATACACACTTAAATTAGTCACTATGTTATAGTTACACCTCCTGCTTTTTTCCCATTTCAAAATTTAGGTTAAAACTTTAAGTTTTCATTTTGGAGCCAGGCACAATAGCTCACACCTGTCGTTACACCTATTTGGGAGGCAGAGATTGGGAGGATCACAGTCTGAGACTGGCCCACAAAAAAGCTGGCAATCTTATCTGAAAAATTACATAAAGCAAAAAGGGCTGGGGGTGTGGCTTAGGTGGGAGTGTGAAGCCCTGATTTAAAACACCAGTACTGCCCCCCATAAAACAAAAAAAAAGTAGTGTTACAAGGATCTTTATTCTCCCTTAAAAGATTTGATCAAATGCAGACATACAACTACCATTTGTATTATTTAGTAATTATGATTGAAATTGCCAAGAAAAATAATTTTGCATCAATAATAGAGTGTATTCACATATTTTCCCTAGCAGTTCCAAGTTATTTTAATTCTCTGTAGCATTTAGTCTCTATGTAGTTACTGTTTTGAACCCTTAGTATTTTTTTTTATGGAAAAAAATAGTATAAGTTGGCTTCATGCTTCACTTAGATGTTAAAAGACCATATTACCACGTATAATCTTATAAATAAATCAGTATCAAGGATATAACAAGTACAGATTATTCTTTTAATGCTCTTCTTATTTTCTGCCTCGTTTTTTGCTGACTTGCATATAGCAATGCTATTTTTTTTGGTATCCTCAATGCGTCATAATAGTATGCTTTCCACACCCTGTGGACAGTGGAGAGCAAGTGGAGGTGGGAAGTGGAAGTGAACAGGACAGTAAGAACACAGTGATGGTGGCAGTGGTGGTATTGACCGCTTGGAGGATGGCTGATGGTGAAGGATAAAGTAAAAAATGAACAGGACCCAGACAAGGTCAAGAAATATGAGACAGGCTAAGCTCTCCTGCAGAATCTAAATATTGAGTTTCCCAAGTCCAGGGATGTTTCTTGCATAGTTATTTTGATTGTGTTTTACTAGAAACAAAGGAACAAAAGGAGATAAGGAATGGTGGGGCCTGACTGATTGCTCATGGACAATGCCCAGGGAACTCTAACTTTACCCTTCCATTTTCTCCTCTGGTATTCCCACCACTGCTCGCTCTGGTCACCCATCCTGGTCTTATCATAGCTGGGCATCGAATAAGAGAGTCTTCACCATTCTCTTTTTCCTAGGTGCATGGTCTAGGCATTCAGAAGTCCCTTTCAAGTGCTCCTTTTTTGTGGCACCCTCCTAGTCACATGACTCCCACCCATCCCACATGACATGCCAGGTCGCAGTTGTGTCTTAATAGTACTTCAACTTCAAGCCCACACAGAATGGCGACTCAGCTCTCAGGTCTTTGAGGAGCGAGGCCCTGATCTCTCAAGACCTCAGAGCTGCCAGTTTTGTCTGACCCAGCTTTGAAACAGGTCAATAGTCCTTTCCTCCAATGCTGGTGGGTACCCTCATCCTTTTATCCCCCTGCCCTGACCAGGGCTCCCATTCCAAACCTCTCCCTGTTCTTTTCCTCTTACTCACTTCCTTGCTTTTCATATTTTTCTAGATGGTTGATTCTTCCCACATTTCCATTTCAGTCTCAGACCCCTCTTTTACTTTTCTCCTTTCAGTGACTATGAAATGCCACCAAGAAGATCCTCTCCAATATCTTCAGGGTAGTCATTAACATATTATAAATAGTGAGAAGGTCAGGAATCCTTATGAGAGCTCGTAGCAAATGGGTTATTTATAGGGCACGTTTATACATAATTGATTCATTTAGCTAAGATTTTTATAAGGCTTTCTTTGATTAAAAAAAACAAGGAAAGTTTAAGCTACACTTTATAATATTCTGTTCAAAACTGTTAGCCTCATGGAATGGCTAGAAAGTCTTTCCCAAAAAATCCATTCATTTTATTTACTATTTTTTCCCTCTTACAACTTAGAGCTGTAACCAGTTAAAAAATATCTTTGAAGCCAATAATAACAGTATTTCTAGATGAGCTAAAAAGAAAAGCCAGTAAACAGCAGTCACACTAAAGCCATCATGGCAGACTTTTGAAATAAGCACTGCTGAAGATAGACTAAGACTATAAATCATTCACTTTGGTGCAGACATTCTCTAAATTTACAAAGAAATAGAATCAGACCCATTATCATTTGCTAAAATAAAGACATAAAAGTTTAAGGAATTAAACTTTTGATTACATAAAAAGGTTCAGTTTAATTCATTCATTTGTAAAATCTGCCATCTACCAGGGAAATTGAAATAGGGAAGTTTGTTGTGGTTATCTTTCTACTGTGTACATTTGAAGAAATTCATAATAATATTTTGTAAAGCAAAGCATCATTTAAGTCAAGGTGATTTAAATCTTCCACAAGCACAATGAACTGGAAAAATGGTCCACATGTTGCTTGGTTATGTAACTATTATTAAAATCCTACTGCAAATTAGAAGAGAAAGCATCCTGTAGCAGGAGGATAGTGAATAATTCAGTATTGTTAGAATATTAAATATGTATGTAAGAGTGTGGAGGAAAGCCTGAGGGGGAAAATTGGTAATAAAATCTAGGTAATCGGACCAGGCGTGGTGGTACACTCTGTAATCCCCACTCTATATTCAAGCAGCAGAGTTCAGGAGGATTGCAGTTCAGTGCAACCTGGGCAAAAAAGTTAGTGAAACCCCATCTCAATCCACAAGACCTGAGCAAAAACTTGAGAACCTATCTGAAAAATAACTAAAGCAAAAAGGGCTGGGGGCAGGAGGTTGGGTTGTAGTTCAAGCGGTAGAGTATTTTCCTAGCAAGTGCAAGGCCTTGAGTTCAAACTGCAGTACTGCAAAACAAACAAACAAGTAAACAAGAAGATCTAGGTAATTAAAATGAGAGGTCCAGAAATCTAAGTTCAGGTCAAATTTATGTCAAATCTGATTGAAAGCTGACAAAAGGTTTCCCACAGGCACTGTGACTTGTTTCCACATAAGCACAACTCCACTGTCATTTTCATGTATTTATTTTTCAGCAGCATTTATCCCAGTCACTTCTTCAATGCTCCAAGAGAATATAAAATAAACTTTTTTTGTTTAATTCTTTTTTCCAATACGGAGGTTGAACCCAGAGCCTCACATATGCTAGGCTAGTGCTCTACCACTTGAGCTATGCCTCCAGTCCTTTTTTTAAAAAATCTTTTTGTATTTTTGTTGTTTTGGAGATAGGGTCTCACTAACTTTACCTGTGTTGGCCTTGAACTCTCAATTCTCCAGTCTCCCTCTCCTGAGTAGCTGGGATTACAGATGTGCTCAACCATGCTTTACTTTTCATTAAATGTTTACAAATAAGTTTTAGCTTTTGTATTAGTCTGCTTGTGCTACATAACAAAGTACACTGACTGGGTGGCTTACACAAAAGAAATTTATTTTCTCACAGTTCCAAAGGCTGGAAGTCCAAGATCAAGGTACTGACAAGGTTACTTTCTGGCAAGACCTTTCTCCTTGAATTGCAGGTGTCATTTCCTCACTTGTCCCTTCCTCTGTGCAGGTTTTCCTGGTATCTCTCTCTTACAAGAACAGCACTCATAATGGATGCAGGCACGACTTTAATGATCCCATTTAACCTTGATTCTCTCAAAGGCCTTGTCTCCCAGTACGGTCACTTTGGGCATTGGTGCTTCAACATAGGAATTTTGAGAGGTCACAGTTCAGGCCATAGTAACTTTTAAGCCTAGAAGGCCTGCCATTAAAAAACATAACCAGGGCTGGTAGAGTGGCTCAAGTGGTAGAGTGCCTGACTAGCAAGTGTGAGGCCCTGAGTTCAAACCCCAGTTCTGCAAAAAAATTTCAAAACTAATAAAAGTCATAATTGGACACATAATCCAGTAGTTAGGAAAAATATGGAGAGTGATAAGAAGACAGAATTTGAGTAGTAAGGCAAGTGATTTTGTGTTTAAGACCAAACTCACACAGCCATAAGAAGACTCAGCTTGTGAGCCTTCAGGGTGTACAGGAGAGAGAGGGGTGTGTGTGTGTGTGTGTGTGTGTGTGTGTGTGTGTGTGTGTGTGTTTCCATATTAGTCCCTACCTGCTTGTTTTGTTTATATTATATCTTGTAAACATTATTATAATCTAATTGTAAAGACATGTGTAAGTCTTTTTTTTTTCATTTTATTTTTATTAGCATACATCAGTAGTGTAAGAGTGTTTCATTGCAGTAACTGCATAGTTGCTCACAGTATACTTTGAACAACCTGCCTCCCTCCTTCCCCTCTTTTTCAAACAGATTTCATAGGTTGTATATATATATATATATATATTATATATATATTCATATATAAATATATATTTATATATATATTTCGTAGGTTGTATATATATAATATATATATTTGTATATATATAATATATACAAAGGTCACACACTTCAGTCTTCATCCCCGGTACCTTCTCCCTTCCCTCCCAGCTCCTGGTGATCGCCCCTGAAAACCTCCTTCATACTCCAGACACATTTTTAATATCTATCAATTCATCAGCTACAAGTAAAACAAAGTCTTCACGATGTGCCTGGATATTTATGAATGCTCTATTAATATATTGTGACATCACAAATACAAAAATGAGACTAGAGTCAAATATGAAAGAATTGTGCTGTTAAATGTCTTAAGGTGAACTTATCATTTGTACTTTAAACAATTTATAAGGGAAACTTTTTCAGGATGCTTTTTCTTATTGGTATCTAAAAATAATTTTAAGGGGAAATGTCAAATTCTTCTAGTTTCTTCTCTGAATTTCTTAAAATAGCATTACCCCCTCCTCTTTTGAAACATAATCTTTCATATAATTCTAACACATGTAGATTTTTCACATTAGAAGTTGTAGAAAATAAAACCAAATGAAATCTACAGTGCTAAAATTACCAAAGAGAGTATAACTTTGCAAATATTATGATAGTATTTAATGCATAATTTTGCCTCCCTGATAGCCTAAAGATATGAATTTAGATTGCAGAATAAATATTTAATACCATCTCATTTGGGGACGTGGTTGAAATGACAGTGAAATACTGTATCTCTTTTTACTCTTTCAGACTCATTTATTTCACTCTACAGCTTTAGCGCTTAGGGAGTCACATTAACTCAGTCGTACAGTGAGAGAGAATAAAATCTCATTCATTTCTTCCTTACAAAACCATGGTGCTGTGCTGATGGTTTAACTTGTTCCATGATAATCCTTTTTTTCTATGTTTGCTAAGTAATTTAATGTTATAAAATCTTCTTATAAAACCTTTAAAATACTTAAAAATGTTTTGAGAGTAGTAAACCAACTAAGTACTATAATTTGGACATTTCTTTTTCTTTTTTAAAAAAATTTTAAATTAGGATCTATTCATTATACAGGGGGGATTTATTGTGACAATTCCAAATAGGCTTATATTGTACATTGATTAGATTAGATCACCCCCATCTCTCACCTTCAGCTCCCTCCCTGCCCCCACTTAAAACAATTGCAAGGGGTTTCATTGGTCTATTTCATATACATTTCTTTTTCTGATAAGCTTAAATCTTGCAACTCCTCTGGGAAGTTGACCAATTCATATTCAGTTAAAATGCCTTCTGGTCCAGAGTTTTCATTAACCTACAATTAACCTATGATTTCTGCCAAAATTATCTAATTCATTGAGATTTAAATATTGGCACATTTTTACTCTACTAAAATAAGTTTATCATTGGGGAAAATCAGTAGTCTCATTCCAGAAAATACATGATTTTTCCTTTTCAGATCTTATTCCTCCTTATATTCTATGGAGTTAGAATATTTAAAATTATCTAGATTAGTCTGGGATGTAGCTCTGTGGTAGACTGCTTGCTTACCTAGCATGTGCAAGGCCTAAGTTTGATCCCAGCACTGCAAAATATACATACATACATAAGTAAATAAATAAATATATACCACGAGCACAGGGAAGCTTTGTTATAAACCCACACTATTCTCCCTGTTTGAATACAAATTATTTTTGGTAAAAATACAAGAAGTATTCTTTGGTAGAAATACAGCCTCTGCTCATTTGCCTCTAAGAAGAATTTCTCTTTTGATGTGATTCATTTGGTACCAGACAGGCTCAGGAGTGACACTTTACTGAGATTTTGATCGATAATGCAAGTTGAAATTTCTCAGCCTTCAGACTTTCTGTGTATATGACAATGATACAATGGCAGCACTATAAACTGTCCCTTTTAGCTTTTAAAATAAAATTAAGCTTTTTTTTTCCTTCAAGGGGATTTATCAACAAAGAAAATATTCCCTCTGGCTTCAACAACTTTGATGAGTGTATTTTGAATACTCAGGAAGTAGAAAAATTACATGAAAATACTTCTGATTACATGGGAGAAAGAAGCAAACCTAAACGTCAGAAACCCAGCTCTAAACATTCTGAGCTCAGTGAAAACCAAGATGGCCTTGTGGTAAGAAAATATTTTTATAAAATTTTTACTTGTAGCCAGTTAAGAAATATCACATCTCTTTTCCTGTTTTGTAAAAAAAAAATTAAAAATAATTTTAGTCTTGAGTTTCACAGAATTACAGAGCATGAGTTCTGAGAGGGACTCTAAGGTTACTAAGAGTACATGTTTGTATTTCTTTTTCTTTCTTTTTTGGTGGGACTGGGATTTGAACTCAGGGCTTTGCACTTGCAAAGCTGGGGGACGCTACCACTCGAGCCATGCCTCCACCCCATTTTGCTCTGGTTATTGTTTTTTAGAGATGGGATCTTTCTGTTTGCCCGGGCTAGCTTCGAAACTCAGTCCTCCTGATCTCAACCTCCCAAGTTGTTAGGATTGCAAGCATGAGCCAACAGTGCCCAGCTATACTTCTTTCAAATAAATATAAATAATAAGGCAGAGAAATATAACATTCTGCCAAACAAGAGATAACACACTTTGATTTCCATGTTATTAAAATTGGTCTGAGTTTTTTACTTTTATTTTGAACCTTTTTACATTTTATTCTTTAATACAGTTGCTCATAAAGCACTTTTCCTTATTTTCTGTTTATTCTTGTATATATAAATATATATATATTTTTAAAAAGTAATGAACTAACTTAAAGCAAGGAGAACGAGGACTGGCGGAGTGGCTCAAGCAGTAAAGCACCTGCCTAGCAAGGTGAGGCCCTGAGTTCAAACCCTAGTGCCACCAAAAAAAAAAAAAAAACAAAGCAAGGAGAAGGAAAAATATAGGAAAAGAGGACCAACTATCTTTGTGTTTGGAATCTCTTCCATGTTTGGAAGTTTAGTTTCACATCTATACTCTATAAGGTATTTTCTTCAAATTAATCAGAAACAAAAAAAAAACTGATCACCAACACACAATTTCCTCAGGTCTGAACCCTCCATCATTAACTTGCTATGTAAGTGTTTCAGTTAATAGTAATATTTAACAAGTATTAAATAACCATTTATTAAATGTAACGATTTAGTAGTCATCATCCTTTTGCATTTATACTTCAGTTGTTCTGAAAAGTGAGAACCAAAATCTGTCTTCTCATTCCTTTTAGCTTTAAAATAAAGTTAATCAAAAAATAAACTGATGATAAACCTTATAATAGAACTAGAGTCCCTGATAAAAATAGAAAGGAAGTATCCATTTTTACTGTGTGGTGTGCAGATTCTCTGGTCTGCTTTGCCAGTTTTTAGCTCCATGCTGGTTTCCCTATATTTACCCAGACTTGCAGGCTTCTCATTGTTAATTCCTATATGTGCTCAGAAAAGATACTCAGTTTTCCCCTAAGTAAAATACACATAAGTGTAAATCTAAGAGAAAACCTATTTATGTTACTCTTCCACCCCCAAAAAATAGTCTTAATATTTGTTTGTTTAGTTTTTTGGGGGGACTGGGGGCAGTACTGGGGTTTGAACTCAGAGCCTCACACTTGTGCGCTTACTAGGCAGACGCTCTACCACTTGAGCCATGCTTCCCAACCCTTATCTTAATGTCTGTTTCTAGAAATGAGCTGATCTAGAAAAAATGATCATCCTCTTCAGGAATATGTCTAATCCAGTTCTCAAATAAAGACTTTAAACATCAGAATCATTACACATTGACTGTATTTTAACATCGATGACTTAATCCTTCTTTTGGAAAAAGTAAATTTTTATGTGTGAACGTAGTGTTGGGGATCAAATCCAGGACTCACACATGTTGAGCGTTCATGCTGCCACGCAGCTAGCTACACCCCCAGCCCCTGAAAAGTAAGCGTTCAAAAAAAACACAAGTGACACTAACTTCATTAACTCTTTGTTTAGCCCATGATTTGCTGATCTGCCAAAGGGGTTTGTGGTGATTAAAAGTCTGAGGCTTGGTTTTATAGCTTGAAAATAATGTACTTCTTAGTTTGAACCCCTTTTTAGATGGGTTTAAGCCATCAGTATTTTTTTTTCCCACCAGGAATAGCATCTTAAGTTATTTGGTGCTAAGTCAAAAGAAGTGAAAAAGTACATTTATACCTTAGAATATGTGTTTGAACTTTACTTAAAAACATTTGTATGGGAGATCCTTGTTTCATTTTAGTGTGGAACTGTGCCAGTTTCCTCGTTCAGGACTAAGCATGTCCCGTGTTAACATAAATGAGCTCAGTGGACCCTGTCTTTGTTGCAATGAATAATTTAAACCCTGCCAACAGAACTTAAGCAGGAAATCTTCCTTCTTTGTCAAGTAAGGGTATCCTCAGACATCTTTTCTAATTCTCATATTCCATGAATCTTAAAATCTAATCTTCAGAGGTGACCAAAAAGCAAAGAGCCGTGCAACATAACAGTGACTAGTAGTTAGACTTCATCCTAAAAATTGCCATGCGTCTTAACTTCCTAATTATTCCTAACCTTCTAATTCTACTTTCCCCAGCTCTGTTCCAAAACCTTTCCCCAACCCATCTCAAAGTCTTCACAGTTGGCCAAACATTTGTTTTTATAGCCAAAAGAAAGAAAACTAAAAGGACAAAAATAGTGAGAAAAAAGAATTAAACGTAATTAAATGCCATTAATGTGCCAGAAAATAAGTTAGATCTTAGAGATTCAACAGTGAGAAAGCAGGGAAAAATTCTTGCCTTCATGGAGCTTACGTAACAGTGGGAGAAACAGACAACAATCACAATAAATAAGTAAACATAAAGTACACGAGATACTGATAACTACTGGCAAGAAGCAAAGCAGAAAATGGCCCAGGAATTGTGGGATACAGCTATAATAATACAGTGGCCAGAGAAGACCTTCCCAAGAATTTGACATTTGAGCAAAAAGACAAAGGTAAGGAAGCAAGCCATACAGATGGAACTTCAAGTGTAAAGCCCCCAAAATAATCATTTGTCTGGAATATCTAAGGAACCATGCGGACACCATTGTGGTAAGAAGAGAGTTAGCAAAGTGAGAGAGGCACTGGGGAAGGGAGATCCAATGAAATGCATCCTCGTAGCTCCTTGGAAAGACTCCGCCTTTAGACTGGGTGAGATGAGAAGCCAGTACTTAAATTTGGTGACTGTTGTGTCAGGCATTGACAGGGAAGTGGGTAAGGACAGAAGCAGAGGTCAATTAGGAAGCTCTTGCAATAATCTAGGTTTGGGATGATAGGACATTAGAGGACATAACCTCAGGAGTGAGTGTGGATAGAAAAGTGGCCCAGGCAGTAGGCCCTGAGGCACACCAAGATCTAGAGGATGGGGGAAATGAGAAGCCAGTAGAAGAGACTTAAGAAGGAGCAGCCAGAAAGTAGATGAAAAATGAGCTATGGATGGTGTCTTAGAAACCAGGTGACCAAGTATCATTAAGGGAAAGAAATGTCAGATGACAGGCCAACTAGAAGACCGGGAGCTTAACCGTTGGGGTAGCAGAGTAGTTTTAATACGAGCAGTGCTAGTAAAGAGCTGGGAGCACAAACTATTCTCAAGAGAAAATGTGAGGAGAGTAAATGAGAACAGTGTACAGTACCTTCACAGGGGCCGGCCTGGTCCACAGGACAGCCAAGGACGAGGAGATGTAGACCTCAGCAAGAATCTTGCAGACTTGGGATCTTCCCAGTGGGAACTGTCTGGGCCCTTTCCCCTTAGTCCTTTTGCTCTTGACACAAAGACACCCAGCGGCTACAGATCACTCAACACAGAAGCCAGAGGTAGAGCAGCCAGTCAATGGTAGATTGCTCTGCCTTATCTCTAATTATCCCCTGATCCTACCCTGTCCCTGTGTCCTAGGCCTCTTGCTCCCCTGGGCTGTCCCCCTTCTTTACTTTGAAGAGCTGAGATAACCAGTTTGTGTTTCAACAGTTTCCCTTGTTCTGCTTCAGAATGTCTCCAGATCTCTGTCCACTTTATTTTCTCACCTGCTCAAGTGACCAGTGGCTTATTTCAAAATTCTGAGGCTAACCCCTAAGGCAAAAAGTAACATGCATATAAACTTACACATACATGCACACATTTTTCGTTGCCTCCTGACTCGTTTTTGTTGGCCTAGAAAATGGCTCTTTATCTCCAAAAATCTTTCCAGAGCACAATGTAACATTGTCATTCAAGAGCCATGACTTAGTCATGCATCCTGTCCAGTACTCCTCCTCCTCCTGCAACTACGTTCTGGGGACATAATCTTAAATACGCAAAAAACCATGTGTAATAATTTGCTCATCATAGGCTATCTATAATCATAGAGAATTAGAAGCAACTTAAATGTTTGAAAGAACAACATCAGCTCAGTAACATTTAAATTAAATGCCAACTCAGTAAAATATTGTGTAGTGATTAAAAATTAGTTATAGCTGGATATGGTGGCTCATGCTTGTGATTTACCTGCATGGGAGGTGTAGACAGGAGGATTGCTACACGAGCTGGCCCTGGGCAAAAATATGAGACTGCATCTGAAAAATAATTAAAACAAAACAAAACAAAAGGGCTGGTGGAGTGGCTTAAGTGCACAGCACCTGCCTAGCAAGCACATGGCCCTGAGTTCAAACTCCAGTATTGTACAAAAAAGAAAAGAAAAAGACCCCTGCTTAGTTGTTGGCCTCCCCCCAGTTGCTTGACACTTTGTCCCATTTTCTCAGAACTCTTTCCCTGGGGTTCTGTGACATTGATCTCTCCTTGTCCTCTTACTGTTTTCAATTTTGCTGTACCCTTTACTAGCTAATCTCATAAAACATGTCCATCTGTAAATGCTAGCCAGAGTTTTGTCTCATACCTCTTTTCTGTCAAAACTTTGAGGGTTTCTCTAATTCTGTGGCTTAGTTGTCACCCACCTCTCTACAAATGACTTCCAAATCGACATTTGATTGATGCTGTAGCCTACCCCAGACAGCACTGTAAAGTCAACACATTAAAACCCAACTCATCTTTTTCTCTTTGAGCTCTTTCTCACTCTCAGGATCCCCATCTGATCTAACATCATCATCATCTCCTGAGTCATTTTCTAAGATCCTTCCTTACCTCA